AAAATTGAATCAATATTTTTACTTTCATGATAAATTTTATGCACTTGACTCTAGGCTAGGTGATCTCACACTACTTATTTACTTTAACCTTATTTTACCAACACTCACTACACGTATAAGGTTTCATGGCATCTAAGAATTAAAGGACAACAAGGAACATTTTAGTCCATTTAGGTCATCCTATCCACTCAGTTAAACACTAAAAAACCCAAAGCCAACTCTTATCATTTAAGTATTTATCAGTCTTTCCCTTAAATTAATTGCATCTATCACCTCTAAAGGCAATTTATTCCAAAGACCAACCATCTTGTTAGAAAATTTATGCTGTCTTAGCTGAAGATGACACCTACACTGCCAAAATTTGTATTGGTTCTTATCAGTCAGAAAACCAGACTATGACTTATAATTTTTCTTTTAGGTCACCTGGCATTAGCCTGGTGGTTAAGGAGCTGAACTCACAATCTACAGGTCGCAGGATCAAAACCCGTTACGAAATTTACTTGCCCTTTCAGCCGTGGGGGTAGCAATAACATGATGGTCAATTCTACTATTCATTGGTAGCTCAAGATTTTGTAGTGGGTGGTGTTAACTAGTTGCCTTCTCTCCCTAGTCTGTTGCTTCAAAATTAGGGATGGCTAGCACAAATAGCCCTCAGTTAGCTTTGCATAAAATTCAACAAACAAACAGTCCTTTTAGGTCTGTGTTTGCAGATTTCTTTATAGCCCATTTCTTTCTTAACATCAATATGTTTTCTGTATGTAACAGTCAGTACTTATGTCTAATTTTTTTCCTTGATCAAAAACCATTCATTTGTGTTTTGTTTATAGAAATTGGAACTATGAGGCACAAAATGATTTCTTTTTCACAGTCAAAATTCATACAAACGTTTTTATAAGTTTTGAAGCACTTTATATTTCACATAAAACTGAATTTTTTGTATTTTTAATTCTATTCATCTAATCTTAGAGAATTAAATATTTTATGTATAAAATGTATTGTTTGAAAGCACTATTATTACACCATAAGAATAACAAAGTTATAACTTTCTTTAATTCTTTTTTTTACTTAGAGTTATTGGCATTTTGATCTCAATAATATTAACTTCTGATTACAGCAAGCTATGTAGTTAGAGCAAAATTAAAATTACAGCTAATTAGGTACATCCTTTTTATGTTGCTATTGTAAAGGTTAGAATGCATTGTTTCTTCAGTTGGTTAATATTCAAAAAAGTGTATGTGTTTTTGAATAATTCAAGTTTTTCTGACTAATTTTAGTTCATCTCATCTTTCTCTCTATTTTATCCTGTAGTGGATCTTTATTAAAACCACCTGGAACATTGTCACCTGCATCTTCAATTAGCAGACATTTTCCACGAGGTACTGCCAATCGCAGCACTTTCCACAGTGGACAAACAAGAGAACGACGTCCCACAAGTGCTTATAATGGACCTGGAACAGTACCCATGCATACTCAGGACTTGTTAAGCATTACTCCTGGAAATCATCAATCTTTCTTCAGTAAACTCTCCTCCAAGTTCAGTAAACGGTAAGGAGAAAACTCATTTTTGTTTTGTTGTTTCTTGCAGTAGAAGTTTTGAGGAGTCAGTGAAAGCACTGCTTGGAATTGTCCCTGCACTTCAAGATATAATTTATTTGTTTCATATATCATGTAAAGTAGAAAAATTGAGGAGTGTGAATGTGTATTAGTATTAGTGGTTTTTTGGATTATATATTTTTTCAAATTATTTTATATTCCTTTCTTAAAATTACATACATTTTGAACTCAGTCTTATTCACTAGAACTAGATTGACTGTCCATTAGTGATGTCCAACTTCATTGAGTCAGTTTTAATGAAATTTTGTCTTAGCTTTAATAAATTGCTAATTGTAGGTTCAAGTCTGTTTCTCACAATGTAATACACCATTCAAATTCTTTATGTTGCCTGTAAGGGGCGTGTGTGTAGCCCATGAGCTTCATTGTTAGGTTCGATGCTGCACTTGTTACAAAAGAAATTTAATTGGATTTCAGGTCATGCTTTCATGAGTGGAGCACACAAGCCACCAACTCCAGGAAGTTTATGTGTAGAATAAAAACCTCGTACAGAGACAACTGAATACAAATAAAATAACTATTGAAAGTCTTAAGGTTGTCTTGAGATAACACTACTTCTAGGTCATTGAATTCTTCATTTTGAAAGTAGATGTTCATTAATATTGAGTTCAGTGACGACACAACATAAGTTATCAACTAAGTTAACACTAAGTTTTAGTTTTAACTGAATATTTGTATAACTGCATTAACAATTCTTCTAAGATATCTTTCAGTAGTTCCACTATAATTGTTATCAAATCTACTATTTCTTTAATACAGTTAATATTCTTCACTTTTCTCTCTTTATATGTTATTGAACCTTAAGTGAAACACTGTTAGACTAAATTAGAAATTGTGTACTTACAAAGAGTTTGTGCAGCAAACTTCTTGTAGATATAGGATTACTGCCATCTTTTTCTGGAGTTGGATCAGGTCCCCGGAGCAACTCGATAAGTGCAGAGAAGTCAAGTTTAGGGCTGGAAACACGGAATTATATACACAATTTTTAGTTTTTTTCCAATTGTTCAAGAAGTTTAGTAGGTATACTTTAAAAAATGGTTCTTTTAATTCTGTTGGTACAAGTGGAATCTTCCATGAACAAGTGGACTATTCCATCAGACTGTAACCAAAATCCACTTTGTTATTGGTCCTTACAGAACTTGTTTCTGTCCCTTATATAACATCTTTGGCAAAATCATCTAAGTCAATTAACTTGGGGCATATAGAGACAAACCATGTAACTCAGGTTTCTTCACTAAGATTAGTTCATGCATTGGTTTTTGCCACCGTCCCGTTAACTGTTTTTTGTGATATTGATTCATTTTGTCATGTGCTTTATCTGAACAATTGGGGTATTATCTCAACATGTCACATCTGTTTGGCACTAGAATTGATAGCTGTGAATTTTTGCACGTCTGAGATCACAAGTTGAAACATTTCTCAGCCGATGAGCTTTAAGACTGTATATCCCTTATTTGGTATTGTGGTTCACTAGTTAGTGACCACATTTTTTTGTAATTTTTTGATTTGCTGCTTTCTCCATACTATATGTTATTAAAAAAATGATATGTACTTCTTGAAAACTGCTAAATATGTATATACTTTGTATTTGTATTCCACAAATACTTCATACCCGTGTTATTTTTCATAACACTTATTTTTTATTGGTCTGCTTACTACTTATATCTTTAGACAATTCATTTGTAGTTTTCAATTTAAAACTTTCTTTCCGTGTTGGTCATGACTAAAGTACAAGTAATAATTTAATTAAAACTACTCTGATAGAAGTATTTTTTTACCTGTACCATATAGTTAAGCTATTGATCACTCAGACTTGGTGTATCAGTAGCATAGTAGTAATGTTTTTCTTATTTTTTTGCATTGTAAATTAAGATTTTAAAAGTTTTAGTTTTAACTGAATATTTATATATTGTTAACTCATTTTATTTCATTACTTTATTCTATAGAAATTCTTGGAAACACTTGTACTTTAACATCTGATTGGTATTTGTTATTAATGTTGACTGCTGTTTGTTTTATAGTTAATCAGTAGTTTGATGTTCTCAATTATCCTGCTTGTCAAATAACATTCTATATAAAACTGTTGTACTTTGTTATCTCCTGTTTCATTTTCAGGATCTTGTTAGCCCAGTGATGTTTGTATAAAGCTGTTGTACATTTTATCTTTTAGTTAGTTGGCTTGGTATGTTGCGTACTAATGATATTTAGTATAAAGTTATTATACACTGTTATTCTATATTTACTTAATTTGGTATAATGTTAGTCTAGTGATATTTGGCTGTAGTACACTGTTATTCTCTCTTTAATGAGTTTAGTATCTTGTTATTTTAGCATTATTTGGTATAAAGCTGTTGGGCACACTTGTCCTCTGGCTGATCATTTTGGTTATGTTATCTTTGTAGATCATCCATTATTGTATTTTTATGGACAATACTTTTGAAAGTGTTCACAGTAATGAGAAACTTGTAACAGGTATGTATGTAAGGTGTGTTAGCTTTTTGCCACTGGTTGTAATATATTTTATCAATATTTGTATATTTGTGTTCTTTTAATAAAACAATTAATTTTTTAATTGGTAGTAACTGCACACTAAAATAACACTATTTGAGTGAATTGACAAAGGTTTTTGTTTTCCAGAACTGTGAATAATGACCAATTGAAACCTCGTTCTCTGAGATTCACTTGGAGTATGAAAACCACATCTTCTCGAGATCCTAAAGAAATTATGCAGGAAATTCGCAAGGTCCTTGACAAAAATAATTGTGATTTTGAGCAACGAGATAAGTTTCTGATGTTGTGTGTGCATGGTGATCCTAACACAGACTCATTGGTTCAATGGGAAATAGAAGTGTGTAAACTGCCTCGGCTGTCACTGAATGGAGTTAGGTTCAAACGTATATCAGGCACCTCAGTTGGTTTCAAAAACATTGCATCAAAAATTGCAAATGATTTGAAACTGTGAAAAGAATCAGTGTGTTTAAATCCAAAAGAGAGGAACTTTAAATTGTTTCAGAGGTACTTAGCTAATAGTACTCCTAATGCATTTCATGTTTCTTTCACATATAAAAAATTCAGTGGAACTAGCATACCAGTAACGTACTTGTTAAGATGCTATAATTATTTGGTGGCTTCTAAACCTTACCACTATTAAATTTGTGTAATTAATACAACATGGGTTAGAAGTTAAAGTGAAATTTATCAAGAACCTTTTTTTTGCCAAACTCTGGCACTGTTAATACATTAAATATATACTTTAAACACAACAGATCATGCATCAGCATTTCAAGAATTGTGCCCATATGAAATGGCTAGTTACTGTTAAATTAAGGTTGTAATTAGAACTCTGTACAGATCTGTAATGATAATATTACTGATAGTATAGTGGTGTGAAAGACAAAATTTTGACAGGGTATATTAATGTCTTGTCTTTTCAAAAAGATTGCAACCATTTCAGAATAACGTAAAAGGTTGTGAGGCTCCATCGAGAATAGATGTCATGTTTCTGTAACTACATTTCTTCCATCATTTGTATTATTATTATATCATCTTTGCAATCTTCATCTTGATATTAATAATTATACATATATATATATATATATATATATATATATATATATATATATATATATATAATAAGTATAGAAAAAAGTAAATATTATATATATCGTAGACGTAAGTAGT